GTCCCTTCCTCTTCCATGTCCTCTTTCCTACTCTTCCCTCAGCATCTACCTTCAGACCCCTGTTACCTGTCCTTACTTTCTTCTTCCTTCCATATCCCCCAACCCCTTCTCTCCCGTTTCCTCTTTCAACCTCCCTCTATGTTTATCCTTTCACCCCCCTGTTATCCATTGTTACCCATGTCTCCTTCCATCTCCCCAATCCCTTCATTTCTGTGCCCTCTTTCCTTCTACCCCTTGCCTCGCCACTTCCTTTTACTCCTTGCCTCACTTTCCCTAACATGTACCCCCCACTCCCTAGCTTCTACTTCTTTCCTACCTTCTCCCACTGCTGTCCCCTCCCTGAGAGGAGACATGAATAAGATACAACACTCAGTGAGACTCACCACTTCTGAGAACAGGTTGACATAGGGCAGCCTCGAAATCAATACAACTGACTGGAAGACATTAAAACAAAAAATATCATAAGATATTACAATTATGTACATTCTTGAAAAAAAAACAAAATATAAGAAATAAAAAACAAAATCAAAACCTATTTACAGTGTATAAAGAGATGTGGGCAAAACAAGACAAATTGTGCAGTCTGAGAGTGAATAAATAAAAACAGATAGACCTTTTAGGTTGAAAAGAATGTACTAAAAAATTCCACAGATTTTGTAAGATGCAGGACAATTAATTACCTTTTGAAAATAACCCCTCTGAATAGAAGGATCTTTAACTTGACGGAAATATGCAAAGCCATAAAAATGAGCAGGGTCACTCTGCAAAAATGAAAGCACACAGAAAATTCATGCTATTTTTAGTGCATTCATCGAAACACCAATTTTTTTGTGGCATCTACGGTGTATATATTCATATACTGCACACTCAGTTAACTCAAAAAGCCACTTAAGGCAAGTAATTAACAATTAGTTATTGGACAAAGTTAACCCTTAAACCCATAAGAGCAACAAGCATCCAAATTCTTTATTCATCATCACTAATGAATGAAACATTATGGTTATGAGAGTACAGGAAATGACCACCCACACAAGAAGCTCTTGATTGTGCAACAAATTCTCCTTGTAAGTCCATGAGAAATGTATATAGAACAGGAGGAGGAATATGCATACTGATGGTATGGTGTACGGAGTTAAGAGAAACATTGTTATTTGAAAGTAATAAGCTAATCCATCAAATGTAAACAAATACCAGTCAAGCCATCAAAATATTAGCTGTTACCAATGCTGTGCTGTCTGGGGTCAGATGACCAACAATACAACAATACAATAGGATTGACACTGACCACAACTTTAATCAAAGCATGCTCCTTACAACAATGTGTCCCATTGACTCATAGTCCCATAGTCCTAATGACGTACATGGAACATTATAGATACCAACAACAGTTCTTTACAGGACTAATATCCTCACCTATGGGTCTGTACACAATCAGAGCACATGCCTGACCACAAGATACCAATAACAATGAATCGAAGTTTATGTAAAATAACTGCATACCCTATATGCTAGTGGAACTTCATCTTCAAATCTTGTCACAAGTTGGCTCTGCTGGCAACTACGAGGACTACATCTGATGCGGAAATGAAACTGGGTATCTCCCATGCATCCTGCCAGAGAAATATCCCAACAAAACAGACTATTAATTGCAATTACTTCAGATCCACTTAAAACACTTATCAACAAACCTCCTTGCTTCTGATGCTAGAAGATGCAACCTAATGCTGGGGATCCTAGGCTACCAAGGAAGAATTTTTAAACCTTTAACCCTCATATGACTTCTTCCTGTTATAACAGTGATACATATCCACTAAGCTGGTGACGAGAATACTCAAACTTATCTGGGAAAAGTTGTTGTCTTGATCCTAGCTAACATCAAATCCTCATAATTATTTACCAAGGAAATGTGTAGCAGCCACAGTGAAGAACTAACAATCTGATCATGTGCATGTTGAATCATATCTTGTTACTAATAAAGCTCTCTGCATTAGATGTTAGAAGAAGCAACCTAAAGCTGGGAATCCTTAGCCACCCAAGTAAGATTCTTCAAACCTTTACAAACATTCTCTACCTGAGTTTGAGTCAGGAAAGGCCAGATAACAGATGCTTGTTTTCTGCAAGTGGAATAAAAACAGTCAGCCACAAAATAAAAGGATATAGAATGATTCTCTTCTCAAAATCACTAAGCTTTGTTTTAAACTGAACTTGCATATTTCTTTCTCACTATCAGTAATACATGCTTGTGAAAGAAGTAGCAGTTGATATCTTTTTTTTTAATTGCCCTTTTTGTTTACTTGGAAGCAAAATTATATAACTTTCAAGTCAAGTCAATTTTAAAAAATTGACACAACATTTACAAAGACTACAGTGTTCTTTTTTTACACTAGGTCAATTACACATTTGATGTGGAGGTGTGGTGGCCTCATGGTTAGTGCACTCGACTCTGGATCAAGTGGTCCGGGTTCAAGCCTCCTGCCAGGGTCATTGTGCTGTGTTCTCAGGCAAGACACTTTACTCTCAGAGTGCTTCTCTTCACCCAGGTGTACAAATGGGTACCAGCAAATATGCTGGGGGTAGCCCTGCGATGGACTAGCATCCCATTCAGAGGGGAGTAGCAATACTCCTAGCCGCTTCATACTAAGCAAACCAGAGTTAAGTGCTGGCCCCATGGGCCACTTGGGCCTGTATAATAGCTTTACTTTTTACTTACATACACATTTGTGAGAACAGTAAAAAGATTAAAATGAAAAAATAATTCATGATTCATTATGGCAAAAAAATTGATAAAGATGGTGACAAATTTTTTAATACAACATCAAGTTTAACTTTGTATGACTGAGACCTTTTTGAAAGCCAGCTGTCTTAAATCTCTTAGATCTTACATAAAAATCACATAAATTATCAATTGAAAGTACATGCATATCAATTTTGCATGTTAGCTATGAATAAAATAACCAAACAATAACTACATGTATTAGTGCCAGCAAGTTGATCACTTCTTTAACTTTTTTGTTACCTGTCAGTTTGATAGCACATCAAAATTGCATTTATTGATTTACTTGAGAACTAATCACTCTCATGGGTAAAAGTGGAAATTCACATCGTTAGCCAAAGGAAAACAGCTATAAAATATTACACAGACATTTACATATCATTTTTTGCAGATCTCTTTTATCATGTAAAAAAAAACATTACACTGTTTTCAGCCATCTGAATGTTTAGCGGCTGCCAAATTTAAAGGTCTCAATTATAAAATAAATATTTACTTCTGAAAATGTCTAATATTCTGCCTCAAACAACTGCAAAGAAAACAAGAGATAGTGATAACCACCCAACGAAAAAATTGTTCAGACCACTTTAAATAGACAGCTTCAATTAGTCACAAATTTCTGGTATCTAAAATGTCACAGGATCCCAAAGCTTAATTTTCCAATCTCCATCTCAGATTTCATCATATTTGATGATCAATATAAATGTAGTGTTTGCCCTCATCAACAAAAGTTTCAACATAGACAGTAAGAAAATAATTCCAAAAAAATCATGTATCTAAGCATCCCTATCGTCATCACTGATGTATCATTTAGACTTCTTCTTCGACAGAGGATCCAATATATCTAAGGAAATCCCATTTTTTGGGGTATTTTCCACCAAAGGTCAAGGGCGCACAGAAGAACAACTGTAAGCGATTTATCGTTATGTAAAATGAATGACTAAACAAATTTTACGGTGAAAAAAAATTAATAGAGATGAAAAGTTTTAGAATAATATATTGTCCACTGATTTGGCTGGAAATTAATTCAATTTCTTGGTAAGAACACGAACCAGCACAGACGGGTAAACAAAAAATGATTTAGTTGACAGAATCACAAGAAAACTATTCTACAATACTATCAAAAAATAATAATAAACACACAGACTGGCGTAAGAGAAACGAGCCATAAATTACATTAGGTTGATCAAAGAATAAAATGGAATGTACTATGTACGTACAATAATTCATGGCCCGAAGGTACTTACGTGTGTTTGCTTTATGTATATCTTACCTCACGGTCTGTTAGTTCAATATGTTCGGGATAAACCAACTGTAACAAAGAAAAACCAGAAAATCCGTTACAAACTCATCATAACCACATGTTTAATTATGCTGTTTTCAGCGCTCAAGACTGCGCGTTTTTCGAACCGTAAATCGCATCAATGAAACACTCGCTGCGGCCCACCTCTAACGCTTGACCAAGCTCTAAGTCAAACGTCACAATACAAAAGCATGTAACCCATCTTCTAAAACGATCCCACGGTAAAATTGGACCATCGTATTCACTACGAAGGAACATTTCTTCCCAGTCGCATTCCGCCATCTTTCTTGAGGAACCATCTGTGTTTTCTCCGGCGGATATTCGGTTCTCTGACGTCATTTCCGGTAAAACGGCAGCTGAGAGCTCGCGACGTCTTCCGGGAAATAAACATTTCCTCGTGCTCACTTGTTGTTCCAACATGGCGTCATGTAGCGATGGACAGAAATCACGACAGATTTCCTATTCCGACGAACTTTTACATCTTCCAATCAAGCATGGTAAATCAACTGAGTCTAAATATATAATTTGTATCATCTACGTAGCTTAATTGCGAATCGTTTGGCGTTATTTCTCGCTAAACGAGTACTTTGAATGTCTAATTTTTTGTTGTCGTAGAGAATTCCAAGCTTCTGATAACTAGGAAAAGCAAGGTGGAAAATAGAATTCCTGTACAGACCTGCAAACCGTCTTCAGGTAATATGCCGCTATGATAAAATACAGTTTACCGTGGTGAAGGCTTCCTTCCTTGTAGAGATGCATGATTCCAATGTTGATACCCGATATGAAACTTTAAATTTTCATACGCAAATCAGAAATAAGGTTAAAAGACGATGAGGTGTTTATTAAAGACAATTTATACTTAACATTACTCGTGTTAAATGCGGTGGCTTAACCCATACACCCTAACGTCAGTATGCATATTCTGCTTACTGTTCTCGATGAAATATCTTACAAGTGTAATTTGTGTGATAATCGAGGGCTTTTTTGTTTTATGAACATTTCCTTTATTCTCGTGACCTTCATGTGTGATTCAGGGGTGGTGTTCGTTGTAGGGAGAAAATAGATTTTAGTCACTCTTAGGATCAATGGGCAAATGATTAGCTTGTTAGGCCACGTTCTGAAAGGTTTGAGTATGAATCCATCTAGTGAGGAGTTGTGTAAATTTTATTTTTTATTCATTTCTTCGTTCATATATTACTGTAATGGCTCTCTAAACTGGTGAAAAATCAATACAAGAAGGGGTAAAATGCCATATAAAAACAGTTCACCATGCAAGATGCAAACTTGGCTTAGAATCACTGGGTAGATGAAATTTAGCAATGTGTCAGAGTCTATACACTTTCTTGTTACCCAGGGGAACCCATAGATGCAAATGAGACTTGGGTTTGCTTGATAAAGCTTTCAACTCTTTACTCATATTCTCCCCACTGTTCTCTATACATTTCTGAGGATACTGTTAGGGAGGATTTGTTAGATGATCCAAGGTTGCTCTGGTTGGGGATGTCAGATCATCTCGTTTATTCTCACAACTTTGATGTTTGTTTAGGGGATGGTATTGTTAGAAGAAGTTAGATGATAATCAATCCAAGGCAGCAAGTCTTTAGACAGACATCAGCTTCCTCTTTGAGCTATCTGGGCCTAAAAATAAGGAAACTACATCATAACACTTAACCCTTAAAACTCTTACCTTGGTGTTTATATCCTCCACACTGTTCTCTTTATGTTTCCTCTACACTGATAAGGAGAACTTGTGTGATGATCAGGAGCTTCCTGAATGCGTGATCATTTTCTTTATTGTTGTGACCTTTAAATTTGATTGAAGATACTTACTGTCAGACCAAGGGATGAAAGGGTTATCATAACTAGGCAGAAGGGAGTCTGTTACAATGCCAATAACATAGGGATTCAGGATTTTTTCTTTGTCCCACACTCATAAGAAGACACAAAAAAACATCTTTCTCTATTTCTTTACCAAGCTCAAAACTTATCATCTTTCTTCTTCTATTTACAAAATATCACAATATTGACCTTGCTGATCTTTGTTGTATGCAGGATGTGTGTCATATATGAACTTTGTAATGGGCCTTGCTCACCATTGAGTCTTTGTGGCTCAGTGGTTGAGTATCAGAGCGTGGAATCCTAAGGTCTGAGGTTCAGTTCCTCATAGGACTCAGAATTTTTTTTTTTCTTGTCCCACACTTGAGACAAGATTAAAAAAATCTTTTGCAATGCCATGAACAGTATTTTTTCTTACAGTTTTAAGCCGTGTGAAGGATTTCTTGCCTGTGATGAGAGAAGCAGAGTTAGCATTGGAACAAGAACTTCAAGTGAAGTCTCCCACTGAATTGGATATTGAAAGTGTTGACGATGGTGCTCCATTTATTGAAATGGTAAGCAGAACCCTCTATACCCTAACATCAGAATGTATATTCTTCCTACTGTTCTCTATAACCTTCCTGAGGTGCTGACAAGGAGAATTTGTTGAAAAATCAGAAGCTGCTTTAGTGGGTGATCATTCCCTTGACCTTGATGTTTGATTCAGGGATGATATTGTAAGGAGAAATTAGATGTTAGTCACTCTTAGGGCCAAAGGATTGAGAAAAAAAATGCATCCCAATTATTTTCTGCAAGTAAGATTG